ACACATGGCATAAATTAAGTGATACTAATAAAACATGCTCTCTCTCTCTCTCTCTCTCTCTCTCTCTCTGTGTGTGTGTTTTTTTTTTTTAAAATAAATAACCCTGTTAAAACCGGCGCTGAATATCATTTAACACATAAAAACACAATGCAAGTGCTCTTTTTGGGCAGTTTTTGCGCCTTTTTCACAGTTTAAATCAGTTTAATTATTACCCAAACTCTGTTCAACACTTCACCTCAGCAGAGGCTGCCACAACAGCCAGGTTCAATTCCTTTATGTCAGAAAAGCTGACTGGGAGACCTTGGCCATACTGCTGCATCTTAGTCTAGCCTGCCTCACAGGGTTGCTGTGTTGACAATGTGGCATTGGGACAATGTGGTGGCCCCACTCTCTCTTTGGATAAAAAGTGCCATCATGATCCATGATTTTTAATTTTCATGGGAGTTTTTAATATCTGAGTCACCAGCTGAGGTGAGATTTGAATACAGAACTTCCGGGTTCATGCCTCATGTTCTTTGCAAGGCAGGCAGAGACTGGGCAGTGTTGAGCTGTGGTGGCGTAGACATGCTGCCTAAGGGGACCTCAAGGAGAAAGGGAAACAGAAGCAGATCCCTCGAATAAGCTGCCCGCAACCTGTGTTGTGTATGGAGCAGTCCAGAGAAGGTCGTGACAAAGATCCATCACAGGAGAGAAATCACGGTAATAAAGTTTGGAGCAAACACAATAAATGCAAATCCGGGCTTCCTGTTTAGAGAAATTAAATTACAGGAGTCAAAAGGCGGGGCAGCAGAGATTTCTTGAGAAAACACCAGCCACACATTTTCCATTTCCATAGTCTGTGCTGTGTTTGTGCTCCGGGTGGAGTCAGCTCCTCATTTTTTAAAAAACATATATTAGGCACAAGGAAAGTCCACCAGAGATCTCACTCTTCAGCTGCCTCAGAGACTAGGCTCCTGGGGTGAATATCCTGGTTGTGTCCCAGATTCTTTTTTCCCTTTGATTTTTAGGCGGGGCTTTTTCATTATTCCAAACTTGGGGCCCCTCTCCAATTTAGCTGTGTTTCCTGCATTACTGGGTGTTGGACTAGACCAGGAATGTCCAACTCCCAAGAGACTGATCTACTCATTGGATTGACAAAGGCTGTTGACCTTTTTTGGGGGGAGGAAGACCCAAAGCTCTTGAGCTTATTCTGGGGAGGCTTCAGCAAAGCTGTTGAGCTTTTTTCTTTTTGTATTTCTTTTCTTTTGGTGGGATCATTTAAGAATCACGCAATCGACCAGGAATGCCCCGCGATCGACCGGTGGATCACAATCGACCGGTTGGACATCCCTGGACTAGACCTTTGGGATCCCTTCCAACTCTACAGTTCTATGATTCAATGGCACATCTTCCCCAACCCAGAGTCAGGGACAGGCAGGCTGGAGATCAACTTTTATTATTATCAAAACTATAGTACAACTGTATCAACGCAAAGGTAACCAGCCCTGTCCAGATGAGGCAAATTGCTTCGCAACATCATGACCCAAAGCTGTTCCTCAAGATACAAATGGCCCAACTCCCAGCTTCCAACTGGCCTGGCCTAATTAGCTCCAAATTGCTACCAGCAATCAAGAGTAACTTGGTTATTCTAATTACCTGCCCGCTTCTTGCTTTCCTCCCTTACTTTTGTTTGATGTAGCATTTAATTTCCTCTTTCTCTCTGACAAACATGGAAAACGGTGCCCTTTATCTTTGCAATCACCCGGGGACTGGTCTTCTATATTATCTCTCCGTTCTTCCCTTCTGTACAAACAAACACACCCCAACCAACCTCTTTCCAACTTCTGCTTATTTTTCTTCTTTAAAGCATCTGATTTAACAGGTTGACTCGAGATAGCAGGTTTGGGATGCAGTGTACCTGCCTGCCACTTTGAACGGGAAGTTCAATTTTTTTGAATTCGCACCCACCACCATCCACATTCTTGGGCGACTAGTCAAATATTAAGGACTTGCTTTGTATGCAACTAGATTGGGCTTATTCAGGCAGGCCTTTGGGCCTCATAAGATTAATAGTTGCCGTCAAGCTAACATTTGCTCTACAATTTTAACATACAAAGCCAGATTGAAAGCCAGGAACCTAGCAAACCTACGGAAATATAATCGTCAGGAAGCATCGACTTGGACTTTATCGCTGTCCAGGCATTCAGACTGCTTCTGCCCACCAGGTGCCCTCCAGATCTTTCAAACTACAGTTCCCATCGCCCCCAGCCTGTTGCAGCCCAAAATGGCTGTGCTGACAAGGACTGATGAGAGCTATAGTCCAAAATATTTGCAGGGCACCAGGATGAAAGCAGAAACATTCCTAGCCTGAAACACCCACAATCCCAAACCAAGGATCATTTTGAACCCTGCTCCCGTCTGCTATGTACTGTTGAAAGCACTTTAGGGCTTGCTGTATTCACCTTGGCTGCAACCACGCCTTTGGCTGACTGGAAAGCCAATATAGCGCTTTATACAGTGGTGCCTCGCAAGACGAAATTAATTCGTTCCGCGAGTTTTTTCGTCTTGCGATTTTTTTCGTCTTGCGAAGCACGGTTTCGGAAAAGTTTTGGAAAAGCTTCAAAAATCACCAAAGTCTTCAAAAACCTCAAAAAAGGCTACCACACCGCGTTCTATGAGTTGCTCCTCGAAGTCAAGTCGCAACTGTATTAACGGTGTTAAGAAAAAGGAAACAAACTTGCAAGACGTTTCCGTCTTGCGAAGCAAGCCCATAGGGAAAATCGTCTTGCGAAGCAACTCAAAAAACCAAAACCCCTTTCGTCTTGCGAGTTTTTTGTCTTGCGAGGCATTCGTCCTGCGAGGTACCACTGTATATTGGAAGGGTGGAAGCTGACCTATTAAGGCAAGCTGCATGAGGGTCCCTTTCTGCTGGTGCTTCCAGAAGGGTGTGGATCAGCACCTGGCATCTCCTGATGGCTACTAGCCCAAGTGGCTCTGCTCTGTCTCCACAGTTAGAGGGAGCAATGCTTCTGAATCCCAGTTGCTGGAAAAGGCAGATTTGCTCTTGTGCTCAGGTCCTGCTTGCTGGTTTCCCATTGGCCACTGTGAGAACAGGATGTTGGACTAGATGGGTCATTGGCCTCATCCAGCAGGGCTCTTCTTTCTTATGTCTTGGTCTTGGATGAAATTGCCATCTTAATCCCTCCCCCCGCCCCAAACTCAGCCCCCATCAAAGTCGAGACATTCTTGGTTTTGACTTCTTTAATTAGCCTTTTTTTTTCTCCTTTCGGTTTACAAGTTAAATCAACAGGAAACAATAAACCATTTTTTTCTCGTCATATAATATATATATATATTTATAAAAATCAGTCTTGAGAATTAATTTAAAAACAAAAAGTCCTTTGTAGCGATCACTCCCTCTTCTTTAATGTTTTCTATTAAGAGGTGTTATTGGTCAGCACAGCAGGATTTAATTTTTTTAAATTACCTTTACAAAAAAAACCCAACCCAATGTATCTTTTTGTAAGATGTTTTGGAAAAATGGGAGTGGGGTGCGGGGAGAGAACATCCATTGAGTTTTACTTCTAGAGATGGGGAGGGTGTATTTGCCATCAGAAACGCAGCATTTGAGGAGGGAGCAGCATTTTACTGTATCAAAACTTGTGGTATCCAAAATGGGTTTTCCGCACTGGATAGGTACATACATACCTCTCCCTGAAATGGTTCAGGGATTTTGAGGTGTGCATGCAATTTTCTTTTTATAAGATGGGGAAGAAAAGGCAGCTCATTTACAAACTCCGTAACCACTCCTTTCAAATCATATTCACCTTGGGCAGAAAATTTTCTGCTGTGTAATCTGCTCTAGGGCTAACTCTCCATGGGTCATCAAATTGGGTTGAAATCCCTGCTTGTTTCAGTGGAGTGTGTTATGGTGTAAAGTCTAGAGCTGCAGCCTAATCAAGATAGCTCCGGGACTTCTTAAAAAAATTATAATCCCTGGATTAAATCTCCCCCCCCCTCCTGACAGATATCTGTAAAGAAGAATCCCTAGCTTTGGTACAGAAAGGAAGTCACTAGACTGAGTTAAAAATAAAATTTCCACTGCCCCTCCCCCAATATACAGCAGGGCCCAGTCTTCATTACCTGCAAACTATAGGTAACACCATAATTTGGGGGAAATTATCCCTCCAATAACACGGCAAGCCTGGTTGGGCAGCCAGGAGGAATCGTGTCTGCTCCCCAAATGTCCTCCTCATCATTTTGAGTAGCTTTAGGGCAAAATTTAGAATCTGAGAGGCAGTCGTTCCATTTACTGTCCTCTAGGAGGCAGTGTGTCGACATATTTTTACAAAGCAGCAGAGGCTCTGCTTGGAATGTTAAGGGGGCAATATTGTAATGCAGAATTTGCGGGTGCAATACCCTCTGGGTGTTTTGGGCTACAATTCCCAGCCTGTGCACCATGGGGCTGATGGGAATTGAAGTCCAAAATATCTGGCGGGTATCAAGTTGTCAGATGTTTGCAATATCTCAGTCTCCTGCAAACTGCAATTGCGTTAACCAGCCTTCCTTCCCGAGGTCTGTCTCGGAGCGATGAATTGTTGAGCTTTAGCAGCTTGAATCATTATAAAAGATGAATCAGGGGCTTCTGGATGTATTCCCCAAAGGAAGTTCCCCTGTTTTAGCACTTGGGTCAACATTCTCTGGAACTGAAGGTCCTTGGCAGGGCGCAACCATTTACTACTGAAGCACTTTGTTTCCTGCCACAACTATGAACCCTGAAACTGGGTGTGTGTGTGTGGAACCTGCAACCGGTGTATGTGCAACCGGTTTGCCAATTTGTAATGTAGAGTGTTCCTTTAAAGAGGCATTAGAAAGTTTGTTCTTTGTGCTGTGTGTCACAGGGAGAGAGGAATGCCTGTCTTGGTAGCAGATTTGTGTGTGAGAAGGACAGAGAGAGAATGGGAAGCGGGGTAGGTAGAGTGTGTCTTATCCAGATAAAATACTGGATTCAAAGTGTGTGTGACCGGGGGGGGGGAATCCCTGATGAGGGGTTAAATCCACAACTCCAAGGACACCAGGCACACAAACCTGGTGCTGGGACACATGCAGTGTAAGAATTCTGTGGTCTCATATGGACTGTCTTGGGTTGACAGACCTTCCTCCTTCCCCTTCTCAAGATGCAGAGGTTGGCCAGGAAAGCAGAAAACACTACTTCTTGCCCTGTGCACAGAGACCCATGGAGAAGCAATAAAATAAAATAAAATAAAGAATAATTTAAAACTTATTCTTTGTAAGGAGAGGAGGGCAGGCTCCACCCATTCCCAAAATAAATAAAGTTCAACTAAACAGAGGTGGGGTGGGGTTCGGAATCAGCCACATCCCAGGTATTCATGGCACCCGAACTCTCCAGGTCATCCCCCGCCCTCCCCGCAATCTGAATTGAAGAAGACGCCCTGTGGGGCAATAAGAAGGTGGTCCTCCCCCTGCCCCATCGCCCATCAATGAGGAATGATCAAGGCCACAGATCAAGCGGTGGTCCCCAGGGGGGAGCTCTGACCCAGTTCCCGGCACCTCTCCCCACTCTCAGGGCGTGGTTTCCCGCTACCCCCTCCCCTCTTACCCGCCCACAGCCCACTCCAAAGTTAGCTTGGTGTGGCCTTTCCAAGTCCCTGAAGTTCCAGGCATGGCTTTGATTGGAGGAAACCTGGAGTTTGGTTGGGGGCAGCGGTACCCCAACGTAACCCCACCCTGCCACACCATCTAGCTCTCTGAGGAGCCGCCGTCTCCGACATTCAGTTCCTGGGTGTTCTCGGCCTCCTCCGGGATGTCCTGCATCCTCTGGAAATCTGGAAACCAGGCAAAAAAGACCTTGTTATCTCAAAAGGCAGTGGTGGATAACGGCCGTTAATGAAGATCAAAAACGGTAAAGAAAAAGCAGGTCGACTGTAGAATGCGGGTCTTTTCTGCAGAGACAACTTGGCTCTTACACCTGGACGTTCGCATCAGATCTTTATCTGAGTGCAAATTTGGCCGAATGTTTAGAATCTGAATCTAGAACCTCAAAATGTAATATTCATACATGTCCAAACTCAATACTGCACAGTCTACATTACTAGGGCAAAGAGCATTGATACCTTGAGAGGGAGGGGAAATCTCTCAGTTTGGTATCAGCTGCAAATCTGATGAGCATTCCTTCATCCATGTCATTTATAGAGATGTGGGACAACACCAGGTCCAAGACAGAACCTTGTATCTTAATTATTGTATTTTATTTGTTGCTCTGTGCAGGGCCACCCAGAGAACATATACCGATGGACATATGTACAGATATGGAAAATAATCAGGTAAGTAAATAAATAAGTGCTCAAAGGAAAAAAGCTACAGGACCATGATGAAAAGGTACCTACAAAAGATTATACCAGCTTATGCAACAGGATACTTGGCTGGCCATGCCAATGAAGACCTACCCTTGACGGCTGTTCCATTTAAAAGCAAATCCCTCTTTTATTTTATTTTATTTAAGGCATTTATATGCCACTTAATAATTAGCATTTCTAAGTGGTGTATATAAAAATAAGCCATGCGGACAAAAAAGTCACCGTAAAGCTGAACACCACCTTCAAATGCCTGCTGGAAACAGAAAGTCCTTGCCATGCGCCTGAAGTTCAGCAAGGAGGTTCCCTGTCTAATCTCTATTGGGAGGGAGTTCCACAGGCTTGGACCAACTGTGTGGCTTCTAGCAGTTACGACCTGTGCATCTGAGTCGTGGGGGGCCACCTGCAAAGAGCTTGGTGATTGGGCAGGGATCTGAGGGATCAGAAGGTCCTTATAATATCCTGGACCCAAGCTGTAAAGTAACGCAAGGCCCTTGAACCTGGCCTGGCGTCATATGGGTTTGGCTTCGATCTTAATCTCTCAGGAGAGCCTAAACATAGGGAAAGCTTGGCTTGCAGGGGCAGTTGGATGACATCACAGCTTGCAGCATCTCCAGAGAAAGACCTTTCATCCCTCACCTCTTGGGCTCGAAGGGGGAGAATGTGGGTGGGCAACCCCTCCTCCTTCCTCGGGGAGCACCTCCAGATCATGGTCACCCTCCTGGAGTCTACCAGGCGCACCGTGGTAAGCCATGTCATCCCGCTGACAACCGACGAAGGTCTGGTGGAAGGAGTGGCTGCCAGGAGAGAGCAGGTCGCCTCCTCGGCTCTGCTGTCAGAAAGAGAAGGGGGTGAACCTGGATCAAAGCCTCAAAAGGGTGTGTTCCGATGGAGCTGTTGGCATTATGGACATACCTTTCAATACTGTGGTTTTATTAATGTGGGTTGTAGCCAATTACAAATAATGGGCACGATGGACCTAAGTCCATTCAATTCAGTGGACCTACTCTGAGCAGAAGCAGTAAACAAACCTGGGTCTTTGTTACTGCTAAGCTGCCTTGGAAGGATTTTGCAGAATTGCAGAGTTGGGAAGGACCCAGAGGGGTCTTAACTAAAAGGTAGGCTATAAATAATTATGCATAAATAGATTTAAGCTTCAAAGAGACTTAACTTTCCTTAAAATGCTGCCCCCCCCTTGTGCAGAGCTCAGGGAAGGAACAAAGTTTTCCCACCCCCAACTTAGGCATCTCAATGGGGGAACCTAGTATCTTTTTTATTTTTTTAAAGGACAAATGGGGGGGGGGCAGCACAAAAACACTGAGAGGGCAGGATACAGCCCACAGGGCAGCTCCCCACTCTACTGTAACTAATTGATCTAACGCTCCTCCCCTGTTTATTCTGCCACCATTTGCTCTATTTTCCTACGTTGACTTTTAGACTTGGAAACCCTCCATTGGACCCTACTGAGATTTTATTGAGATACCTGAAGGGAAATGGCTTAGGGATGGAAAAAGAAGTATTTTATTATTTGCGGATGGCAGAAAACATAATTCAGTCCCAGGCAGCATGGCCATTTTGCGCTCCCACCATCCTTGGCCAGTCCAAACTGATGGGAGGCATCTGGAGAGTGCTGGGTTGGCGAATACCAGGCTGACTGGAAAGCTTTTGAGCCCAATGGGAAGAAGCGCTTACCGGAGGTGGGGTGAAGCTTTGGTACAGAGCGTCGCCTGCGGGCAAGCTGCGCCTCCGAGGCTCTGCCCCCTTGCGCCCCCAGGCCGCCTCCAGGGGCTGCCGCAGAGCCACCATCTGCCTGCGCGCTTCTTCCACCTCCTGCTCCTGTCGGGCCCTCTCCTGCTCGCTCTCCTGCAGACGGACCTCCAAGGCAGCCACCTCCTGTACTTTCTCCTGGCAGAGCTGCCGGCAGCGGCTCAGCTCCTCCTGTAGCAGCGTGTGCTGCTTCTGCAGCAGTGAGAGGTCGGTGGCCTGCCGGTCGGCGGAGGAGGAGCCTTCCTTGCGTGAGTTGGCCCGGCTCAGCCTCTCCCGCCGCTCACCGGCCTCCTGCAGCTGAAGCTCCAGGAGCGAGTCCTGATGTGCCACAACACCCTGGAGGGGAGCAAAGGGGGAGGCACCATTAGCAGGAGGCAGAAGTGCCTAATCGGCCTTGTTATTGGCTCTCGATATCCAGAAGGGCATTGCAAGGCTGTTGTGCTGCCACAGTCTTGCATCCTTGGCCAGCTACAACAGAGGTGAGGATGACAAGCCAAGCATAATCCTGCCCAGTAGCCCTGCCATTATTGAAGAAACTGGCCTCTGGGGACTCAAAGCCAGGCTTTCCCAAGCTGGCGCCCACCAGTTGTTGTAGACTGCAGTGCTCATCAGCCCCCGGCAACACTGCCATTTTGGACTACAATTCCCACCAGTCCCTGGCAACATGATCCTGCTAGCTGGGGCTGATGGGAATTGTAGTCTGAAACATCTGGAAGGCACGAGGTTGGTTGAGGAAAGCTGCTGAAAATGTCTGGGCCTCCTCAGGAAGAGAACTGCATAACTGCAGGTGCAGGGCAGTAAACAAATTTAATATAACAACAACTAAATTATGAAAAGCAAGTGCGTTCTGCTCCTGTTTTGCCTTTTGGTCACCTGGCTCAGCAACAGGCCGTTTTCTACCCTTCATATACTGCATGATTGCATCTTACATGGTGGTTCACTTTCCAAGCGTCCCACGTATAAACAAAAATTGTGCATACCCTAAACTAAACTTTGGATCTGCTCCACAGTCAGACAGTTGGGGGGGAGAGTGAAAGACTCCCCAGCACTCCCAGTCTCCATGCAGAGCAGGTCTTGCCCCCCAAGCAAGGTGGAGAGTTTAAAAGATCTTCTTGCACTTGGGTCACGTGAAGCAGACACAGAGCAAAAAGAGCTTTCAAGTTCTGTGCCTTGTTTGCATTGAACTCGTGCAATTTCAACCAGCCAAGTTAAATGCACATAAGATGCAACTGTGCTGTACCCAAAAATGCAAGCTCTTAGCAGACACAGCTATGAAACAAATGGCATCCTCTTTGAACGGGAGCCCTGGAATGGAGGCTCGAATCACACTGACCTGCAGGTTGTGAAGAAGGGAGTACAGAGTCCTGAGTCGCTGCAGCACTTCCTGCGGGGTGGAAGGACAAGGCAATCAGTCCAACAAGGCCGCGCCACCCCATAGCCCCTGGCCCCGGCCCCCTGCCCCAGGTCTCCTCTATCCCACTCACCTCCTGTGGTACTTTCTGTTGTAGCTGATTGCCGTTCCCATCCTACAGTAGGGATGCAACACAAACTGTGTCAGGTGCTACCTTGGAAAAACTGACCAGGAAATCACATATCCCCTCAGCACCATATTGTCTACACTGACTGGAAGCTGCTTCCCTAGGATTACAGGCATGGGACATTTCCAGCCCTACCAAGAAGCACCAGCAATTGAACCCAGAACCTTCTGCAGGCAAATCAGATATTTTATCATTAAGCTACGGATTTTTTTCTCCTGGGGGGGGGGACCTCCAATGGAGATCTTAAAGCTCTTGAGATGTTTTCAGCTAGTGAGGGACAAACTTCTTTTGGGCTGGCTTGGCGAAAAAAATATTTGGTTTTTCAAACTTTCTTTGAGAATACTGGTGGTGCTGAGAGGGTTCCCTAGAGGTAAGAAATGACTTTACAGCTTCTCCTTAATTGAGATAATTTCCTGCTTAAATGAGATCATTTCCTGCTTGGGGAGGCAGGAGGATGTTGCTTTCTCCTAGTTCAGTTTGGTCCATCTTGACCCAGGAGAACCTTCTGCTCCATTCTAGACTTCAGGCCAGGCACAGAGCTCAGGCACAAACTCCCCACCAGCCACACCAAAAGACTCACCCGTTGATTTGAGTCAGACTCAAGCCTGATGAATTCGAGAGAACCGTTGATGGTTCCGGTTTCGCCATCTGCAGGAGGAAAATAGATGAAACCAGGTGAGAGTGGGGATCCCTTTCCAGGCACCTTGATCCTCCCCCCCCACCCCAAATCTTAGCTCCGTAAACTCCATGCAAATTTAGCCAACAAAAAAAAAGCAAGTTGGGGCAAATTCATTTACTATCCAAATTTACACCAAACAGAGGTCACTTCCGAATGACCCGTTTATTGAACCTTCACCCTGGAGCTTTAAGAGTATATCCTGATTTTCACCATGAAGGTCTCAAAAGCAGCTCACAACAATAAAATATACAATATGCAAAATTAAAAAACCTAAACCTCAAAAATTTTAAACCTTAAGGATTTATAACTGTACAAAGTTGTCTTTTGGATTTTTCTGTTTTGATTCATGCTGGTTTTTATGTGTTTGTTTCTTCATTGTTCCACCTCGATTTGAGGTATTTTGTGTGAAAAAAGCAGCCAATAAGATTGATCAATAATAATGAAAATAATTAATTACACAACCCGATTTTCCTGGTATGCGACTGAATCCTACCCATGAAACAGTGATAGTCCGGTAGGGGCGACAGGAGTTGCTCAGCACATGGGGTTATGAATTCCTTCCCTAGGACTAGCTCAGCAGGGGAGCTGCTCTGCCCTGTAAGGTGAACTTTGGGGTGAGGGACAGACTTGCTAGGGGAAACTGGCAGGGAAGAGGGGCACGTACTTGTGGAATTGTTGGGGTTTGGGCTGGAGCACCCGTTGGGAGCCTGGCTATGGTTCTGGTCTCGGTCCCAGCCGGGTCCCACGAAGAGATCTTTGAGAAGTTCCACTGCGCAGGCATTTTGTCAGTAAAGAGAGAGATTGGGGGGAGGGGGGGCGTGAAGACAAAGGGAAAGAGACGCAGATTGATTAGTAAGCCATGTAATATTTGCCATATTATATTAATATGTACAATAAAGCCTGATTACCAACGTTGTCCCCCTGATCTCCAACCAACCCCTTCACACTTTATTGCAGCCTTTGTCAACTCAGTGCCCCCTGCACCCGCTGTTTTGGACTACAACTCTCACACTGCAAAGCATCCTCACCTGCTGCCTGAGCAGTCTAGGCTGCCAGCCGTGTCTTCCTATGGGACAATGCAAGCTCTTGGGAGCTCAAAGAAGCCCATTTGTTCTTTCCTCCCTCAAGCCACCTGTGGTTTATGGACACCCTATTTGTACCTCCTGCAACCCCTCACCGGAGGCAGGAGATTTGGGCCAAGGTGGGGAGTGTCCCTTGAGTGCAGCAGCTTGCTACCTTCTTTGACAGCCTCCTGGATCAGCTTCTCGCCCTGGGGGGTGTCGGATGACTCGGTGCGGAAGAGGGTGCGAGGGTTCACGCAGCTCAGGGGCCCGTCCTCGCTGCAGCTCTGAAGGGCCAGGATGTCTGCGAAGAGCCTCACTTTATCCTCCAGGAGTTCGGAGATTTCCCGGTCGCACTGAAGTATCTTATCTGCAGGAGGGAGGAAGAGACATGGCTGCCGGGGGGAGGTGGTGGGTAGCAGGAACAACACCCTTTCCTGGAGTTCTTATTTCGTTTGCCCTACCTTTCATCTTCCGCAGAGAGGCCTCATTCTCTGTCTCAATGAGTGGGAAATCGGCCCGGTCGGGGCACCTGTAGTGGGCAAAGCGACAGCAAAAAAGATCTGTTTAAGATTCCTGGCAGAGCAAAGGATGTAACTCGCACCTTTATGCAGGAAGCTACATTCCAGCCACATAAAAGCCAGAGCAGGAGGGGGCAGAGGAAGGCACATGAGGGTGTGTGGCCTGGGGAGAGACCCAAGGACTGGGGAAAGAGGTCTGGATGGCTGCATTTGGCTCCTGGGCCTGAATTTGCCTACCCTGGTCTACCATGACTGGCAATCCAACCTGGGACTTTCTGTGTATCAAGTAGGTGCCCCACTCCTGAGCTATAGCCCTTCCCCTAAGTAATTTTTTAAAAAAACTTATATCTTCCATCGGCATGCATTATATCCAAACCAGACTTTAGGAATTCTCTTTCTCTGAAACCTGATGCAAAACGTCCTAATCGGCATCTCTCAGGCTGATGTGCAGACTGTAATTTGAATTTTGCACTGCTCCAAATTTGGTGAGATGGTATTTGGCACACACACAGACAGAGGCACACACACAAATGGTACCAAAATGCATTTAAAAATGTGGGTTTAAAAAATAAATAAATTAAAATTGTACATGCTCAGTGATAAAATGTGAAGTAAAATCCATGGGGGGGGGGTTTCTTTAAAAAACCCCCCACTGATTATTGTGGAAATAGGATGTAGTGGGCTTATGAACGTGAAGCTCAAGCAAATTGGAAATAGGTTGATCTATCCAGTAGTCAATAAAACCAGCTCACCTTTGCCATTCATTGTTCTGTTAGCCCTACTACTGTTAACCTTTGGGCCAAATATTTGCATAATTTATGCATCCACAAATACAGAAGGGGATTTTCTCCTGCACCTTCCAACCTGACAAGATACCTTCGGCTTTTGGGGGTGGGAGGTTTAGGGGCACCTGCTGCTCTAGCAGGTTACACCCCTGTGGTCCAGAAGAAACTGAAACAGTGAGCCATGCCCGGTGAGATTTACTGAGATCTCCGGAAAGGGTTGGTGACTCCAGAAACACTTTTGTATCTTCTGAATATTAAGTTTTTCTTTTGGGGGGTAACATAGTTATAGAAACAGTAGCTAAGTTCCTGTTGACAATGATGAAGGAACGGGGGCGGGGGGAGGAGTTATTTAGGGGAATGACCGTCATTCAGAGGTAGAGCCACTTCTCTGCACACTGAAGTCCCAGGTTGAATCCCTGGCACCTCCAGGGGAGGCTGCGAAAAGATCCCAGTCAGTGTGGACAATTCTGCACCCGTTTTTTCTGATTCGGCAGAAGGGCAGCTTCCTATCTTCCTATGTTTATCGAAAGAAAATGTGGCCGTGTTTCACCATTGCTAAGAGACTGATTGACAATCTTGCCCCTCCTTTCATACGTTAATGGGTGTGGACGTTTTTATTGTGAGGTCTGTTGGCTGGATCAATAAAGTGGCTGATAGACCGACTGATCTGTCCATCCCTACAAGAGCCTCTGACCAGGAGGGCTGGGCCCCATCACCCACAACACTCACAGCTGGACCGCTTGCTGGATGTGCCTCATCCAGGTGTTGCGCTCTTCGCGAGAGGCGGTGTGCACCTCGTACATCTCTGGCGGGGTGTTGCTGAGGAGAAACATGCCCTTCTCCTGGTTGGCAATGTCTCGCACAATCAGTCTTTGGAGGGAGATGACAGAAGGCTTGTCCTGGGAGAGAGGGAAGAAAGTCGATAGCGTTTGTGGCGTCTTTCTGGTCGTTTTTTTTTAATTATTCATTACTACAGCCATGCCCCAACATTTCATCCAAAGGGGTTTACATGGTTTCCTCCCATCCCTAATTTTAACCCCACAACAACCCTATGAGGTAGCTTTAGGCTGAGAGGCAATGACTGGCCCAAGGACACATGGCGAGTTTGGACTCACATTGGAAGTTGGGTAGCCATTCGCCAGGGATTCTTTAGCTGTGGTTCCTCTATTGCACAGGGTTGGACCTTGGGGTACCTTCCAGCTCTACGCTTCTATGAGTCCCCCATCTCAGAAATGCTTCTGGGCTGACATTATGTTGTCACGTTGCAGCATTGTGCCAAATCAGACATTTTAGAGAAGCATGGAGGCCACTTAGAGAGGATCCCACTGATTTTCCCTAACTTCCTAAAAGCTCTTTATTTCCAACCATCCCAGATAAGCAAAAAATGTAGATTTTATTCCTTCCTTTTGCCAAAGATTCCCAATTTCCTGAAATTTTGGCTCAAGTTAACCATTATCTTAACCGATGTTCGTGAGAGACAGCAAGAGAGTGTGGCTCTCTTCCCCCACCATTTCCATTTTTCTCCTTTGTATTTTTGTAAAGATTGCAAGATGGCTCTCGTAACGATTTGTTGCCAATCCTTAAGTCACCTGTGCATCCCTTATCATGTGATTTAAAAAAGAAGAAGGTTCAAAGGAACCTGTCCCATTTTCAGGGCAGAACCCTGTCCAAGGTAGTGTACAACGAACATCACTAAAATATATTAACAACATATAGAAGAGCCCTGCTGGATCAGGAGAGTGGCCCATCTAGTTAGTCCAGCATCCTGTTCTCACAGCAGCTAACCAGATGCCCCAATACAAAGCCCTCAAGCAAGACCCGAGCACAAGAGCACCTTCCCATCCTGTGGCTTCCAGCAACTGGTATACAGAAGCATTTACTGCCTTCCGACCATGACAGAAGAGCATAGCCACTCTGGCTAGTAGCCATCAACAACCCTCTCCTCCATGAATTTGCCCAATCCTCCTTGAAAAACACTCAGGTTGGTGGTCATCATTGCCTTCTATGGGAGCAAGTTCCCTAGTTTAACTATGTGCGAAGGGCTTTCTTTCGTCTGTCCTGCTTCCCTTAGCCAGAGTATCCAGTGTGAGAGGCTGGGCCCTTTACACCAGGGAATAGGCACAGCCCGCAGAGCATATCTCACCAGGGTGGGGAAGGTGTACTTCTGATCCTTCTCCTGAAGGAAGATGAGAACATCTGTCATCAAAACTACCAGGACGTCTGAAAGAGAAATGGGGAAGAAACAAGGCGTTAGGGGCTGAAAGGTCTTTTGGGTTGTTGCTGCACATTCAATCCCTCACACTCCCCTATCACAGTGAAGATCTTATAGAACCACTACCCAGCACTGCTGTTCTGGAAGGAGATAATGAGGTTCCCTTTATCAACCTGGCTGTCACTTGGATCCTCCATTCTCAGGATCGCCTGCCTTGGAAGGGGTTACATCCCCTTGGAAGGAGAAGGCTCACACGACTTGGGGGTTGCTACTGGATTCTGCACTACCACTGGAAGCTGAGTGGCTAAGAATGCCCTTTTATGGCTCCGTCTGGCTCACCAGTTATGGCCCCTTTTAGAGAGAGATGAATTGGCCACTCTAGTCCATGCTCTGGTAATTTCCAGAGCATTGGATTACCGCAAAGGGCCCAGCTGTGGAGCTGCCCTTGAAGACTACTAGGAAACGTCAACTAGGCCAAAACACAGCAGCCACATAGTTGGCTGGTTTTCTGTCTGGATCTCATATAACCCCTGGTTTAAAACAGCTGCACTGGTTGCCAGTTTGTTTTGGGCCCCCAAAAGTTGTTTTAAACTCTTTTAATTTTGCATTGTTGTGTTTTAATGCCGTAACCTTCCCTGGGACCTTAGGGTAAAGGGCAGGTTTATAATAACAACAATAATGGCATTCTTTCAAACTGCGATGTGCCTTGAATGTGCTGGCCAAAAGCCGATGTATAACCATAGCAAATACATATATAAAGCATGACTGTGTTCAGAATCGGGGATTTATTTTGCCATCTGGGAGACCCTCCTCCTTGAGAGCCACATGCCACTAGAGGGCAGCAGTGAGCTACACACACAACCCCACAGGCTCTACCCACCTTTGAAGCGCCCAGTGGCCGTCTTCCAGAGCATGCAGCCATCGTGCACCAGCTTGCGCCGCAGCATCTCCTCTTTGCAGAAGGGGCCGTGCTCCCAGGGCAGGTCAGCCTTGGCGCGCCCATCTACCCGCCCGTAAATCTCCTGCAGCCGCGCGTTCTTCTCATAGTCGTGCACTTCCTGGTCGATTGTGGAAATTAGTTCCTTGATCAGAGTCAGGGCGGTGCTCAGGTCCCGCTGGTCCGCTTCGTTCCCTGGGGTGGGGGAAGGCAGGTGGGGAGACCATGATCAAAGGCTCGGTTTGGTTATCAGGCTTTTTGGCCCCAGGGAAAACCCCTCTTCCAATCAGCTTATGCCCAGAACCCATTGCAGCCTCTCTCAGTTGCTGCCTCCCAACTGCATTGCAGATTCAATGCCCCTCTGTCTCGCTCACTTCCGGTTCCTGGGTCTCAAAGGGCTACCAGACCTTGCCCACATTCTGCAGGGCTATAAGCATCACTAGACCATTCTGAACAAAGCAACACAGCAGGCTCTGGGTATCAGTCTTAATTTTCTCTCCCCCACCAAATGGCTTTACTGAGCTCGGGAAGTTCATCAAGGTCACATTAGGATGGTTATCAGCAGCTGAATATTAATTTGTTATGTCCTGGGAGCTGTGTACAATTCCACTTTTGGTAGAATGGTACCAAAGGACCTGGCAGGTGATGACGATGAATAGAGTATCTAGGTCTGATTTTTGTGCAGGCACTTTAAATACTGTGCAGAGCATTTTGAATGACTCACCAATCTCCCTTAAATACAGTATATATGAAAACTGCATAGACCCAAACGCTTGGAGCTGCTCCTGTGGCTAATGGGTGAGGGGGCAGAGAGTATGGCCAGTACTCCCAGAGCCCACGTGCTGAGCAGGGCTTGCCCAGCAAGCAAGGCAGAGAGCTTAAAAGCTCTTTCCACATCAGGTAACCCAAGCAGAGCCCCGCGTGAAAAGAGACTTGAAGCTCTACACCTTGCTTGGGGGGCCAAGGTGTGTTTGGTGTGCTAGCTCTGGAAACCGAGGGGTGCTTGTGTGTGACCTCGCAGGAACTCAGATTGCCCAAGAGATCTCGTGAGATCACCCCAGAGTCATTGTGCAGAGTGGGTCTTGCCATACAAGCAGGCCCAGCACAAAAAGAGCTTTTAAGCTCTACGCCTTGCTTGCATTTAACTTGTGCAATTTCAACCAGCCTGCCTTCAACTGTGCAAGTTAAATGCATGTAAGACACAATTGTACTGCATTATAAAGAAAGAAGATTCCTGATGATTGATTGCATGCATAACGAGGCTACAGAAATGCTTCATAGAGTTGATATTGTAGACATTAGTTGATTGTTTGATGGTCATGATTAAGCAAAAAAGAAGCCAGGTTTTTGCCCCCTTGGTGAAAGGTCACCCTGCCCTCTATTCTCTGGTACCTTTGGAGTTCTGCAGGATCCGGTCGATGAGCCCGGGGTACTTGGTGATGCGCTGGGTCACCAGAAGGATGCACTCTTGAACCCCATGCCGCCTCAGCACCGTCGACCGTGTCAGCCTCTGGAGAAAGGGGCAGAGAGGGGCAAAAGGTCACACTGGGGAACAGGTTTCACAGCCTTGGGAGTCGGAGTTCCCATTTGGGGTGGAAGGGGGTGAGGTGATAGACCTTCCCAGTGGGAAGAAAGGACGGAGAGGCCCTTTACCCGGATGAACTGCTGGAACCGCTTGTCCCGTGCAAAGAGCTCCTTGTAAAGCTTCACGGCCTTAGTGTGGCGGCTGCAGAATTCAGAGTAGGCCTTCTTCATCTGTTCGCCGCTGCTGCCTGAAAACTGGAAGGCAGAAGTGCAAGGGGGGTGAGATCACAATAGGAAGACAGGCCACAGCTCAGCTGGAAGAGCACCTGCCTTGCATGCGGCAGGAGGTCCCAGGTTCAATCCCCACCGGTATCTCTGGGTAGGGCTGGGACTCCCTTGCTTCAGACCCTGGAGAGTCACTGCTGCCAGTCAGTGTAGGCAATACTGAGCTAGATAAACCCATGGTCTGACTCAGTACAAAACAGTATCCCATGTTCCTGACATACTAGCTGGGCAGGGAGAAGGGAGATAAAAGAGCTGCCTTCTCCCTCTATGCCTCTCCATGCCACACACCCCACTCCAAATGGGTGCCAGCAAGAATGGCAGCTGCTGCACCTGTTGGATGAGGATGTCCCCCAGCCGGTTGATGACGAAGTTCTTGTTGCTGTCGGCGGCCAGGGACTCCTTGCGGCGCTCCAGGAGCTGGACGAGGAAGCGGTCGTGGATGTCGCTGAGCTCGTCCACGCAGGGGAACATGCTCTGCACCAGGGCCACGTCCATCTGGAGGTCCTCCAGCATGCCCTTGCGGAAGAGGTTGGTCATGATCTTCAGCGTTTGCACGTGGTGGAGCTCTGTCTGGATCAACTCTGCAGGAGCAGGAAGAGGGAAGATATGAACCGGTTTGCATTGGCATAGTAGAGGCAAAAAGATGGGGTGGGGTGGGTGTGCCAGGGCTCATCCACACTTCTGTTTTGCCTGTGACTTCCAGGCATGCGTCCAAGAGGTTTTTCATTCGCCCCACCACTTTCCCCTGGGAAAAGCCGCTGTTCACGGCTGAATTGGAGCAAACATCAGTCGGGTTTTCTGCGGATTGACGTTTGCTCCAATTCAGCGATAAATGGTGGGTTTTCCCACAGAAAGCGGCAGGACACAAGAAAAGCCTCTCAGACCTGTGCCTAGAAGTCAGGAACCAAACGGAATAAATCATGCGACAAAGGAAAGCGTGTAGGAACACTGAGTGCAAATAGCACAATTCTTTTAATCGGTTCAGAATTCAGATGGTAGCTTGTGTCTGAAAGTTCCACCCACACTGGAGTGTTTGTGTGCCACTAGGGAGAATTCTGTCTCCTCCCTGGTGTGCTACTTTTTTACTCGCTGGGTAGTTTTATTCATTTTTTTCACAGGGGAGCATTTAAATATGCAATTTCCCCTTCCTCCTGCATGCGGAAGTTGTGCAATCCCAGGAGGACTGTGCCTCCTGATCCTTCTAAATGTTTTGCTCGGCTCATGGTGTCAGAGGTCTGGGTGGGACCTCTAATCCTCCTTTAAGGTTGTTATTCTGGCCAACAATAAACCCGGCCCCAAAATCAAAACGGTAGAAACACCACTCAGGGGGTTGTATTTGGTTTGAGACACTTATCAAGGAGGATCCTAACACTTTCTGCATGCCTCCCTGCGAAGAGGCTTATAAATAGCAGGCAAGGCATAAATTCCACACTCTGTATAGCAATTTCCACTGGGGGGGGGGTCGAAGGAAGGAAGGAAGGAAGGTAGGAAGGAAGGAAGGTTATTTCCCATTCCCAATGGCTGTGAGCTTCAGGCTAAATGACACATGATGTTAAACATGTGCTTTACGGCTTATCCTGCCATCAATTTGCTAGTCCTTAAGATGCTTCAAGATTTTGTTGGTTTTGTTGGTGCAGACTCACACAGCTACCTTTCTGGAGGTTGCTACTTGTGCACTGACAGCATTTCATGTGTCTTTCAAACTGTACATTGCTGGGAAGACATTGACTGGCTGTGACTATGCTTCTCCTTCCAAGGTGACATGGCGTTTGGGATCCATTGCTTTCAGAAATCCTCAGTAGGTGGGGTGGAGGGGTGGCAAAAGTGGCACAAGTCCTCACCGTAGATGACATCTTGGCGCTTCATGACTTCCTTTTTGTGCTGCTGCAAGAAGTTATTGTCAACTGCCAGGCTCCAAGAATCAGCCTCAAAATCCTTCTCGCCAGTCTCAAAGTCGCTCATCAGCTGGTTGTATATGACTTCGGCTCCTGGAGGAAAAGAGAGGGAAAATGTGTTTGTGTTTATATGTGGAAATGACTTTGATGAAGGGGGGAGGAGGGAAGAGGATGAAAGCCTAACTGAGCCTCGAGGGCACACAGAATATGTGAGCCACTGGACACTGGGAACTATCAAACCACAACATGCACACAGAATATGTGCATCTGGGGTTGTGGTCTTGGAACCCAGGTCCAACTCACACAGAGACACTGGCTCCTGATGACACTCCCCAAGACTTCATCCAGGAACGCTGTATGCTTTGATTGCTCAGAAATCCCATGCAAAAAAAAAAGGGGGGGGAGCTCAACCACAGAGACAAAGCAGGCAGGTTTGAGGTTCACAATCAAGAAGTGTATAAATTTTATGGAGGGAAAATAAAAATAAATAAACAAAAGCATCTGGGGATTCAAGGTTGACGAACACTCAGCACTCTTAAAAACAGAGCCCTCCTCATTTGTCAGGCAGTAAATAAATAAATAAATAAATAAATAAATACCCAGCCTGTCTGTTCTTATTTGTGTTAGACTCACCCAGATTCCTAGTTTTCTACACGTACGCATAGAATATTGGCACAGGATTTCATCACCCACACCTCCCATCTCACCTTCATCGATGAGGGACTCGACTGAGAGGGTCCGGTTGCGCATGTTCAAGGAGTCAGTGGACTGGGACAGGATCCTCCGGAGGCCAAGAGGAGATTCATCGTTGAAATTCCTGGACAGGAAGAGGAGAATTTTCTAAACCAATACAACTGTCGCTTTATCATCTTTTTTAATACACAAAACAACCCTTTGAAGTAGTTGAGGTTGAGATATAGAGGGGTTACCCGAAGGTCATGCGTGATCCTTGTGAGTTTCAAGGAACCCACCAGGGATTGGAACCCAGGTCTTCTTAGTACAAGTCTGATAAGAAATACAAGACTGACACTCTCCATTACAAAGAGGGTTCACGTTTCGAGAATATTCCTACAGGGAGGGTGGGGAACCCATAGCCCTCTCCAGGTGTTCTTGGACTAAACTCCCATCCTCCTTGACCACTGGTCTCCATTGGTTGGGGTGGATGGGAGTTGGAGTGTAGCAGCATCTGGAGGGCACTGATCAGGGAAGACTGGGCAGATGTAAGTCAAAAGACAGGTGACCTGCTCCACAAAGCTCGCAACGTAAATCTGGGCACACAAGGGAGAGATTTGCGCTTTCTCTCCCCACTAGTTTAAGAACATAAGGAAAGAGCCTTCTGGATCAGGCCAATGAACCATAAAGTCCAGCAACCTGTTCTCACGGTGGCTAACCAGGGAAACTCGCAAGCAGGACCGGAGCACAAGAGCCATCTCTCCTCCTGAAGCTTCCAGCAACTGGTATTCAGAAGCATTGCTGCCTCTGACTGTGGTGGCAGAGAACAGCCACTGTGGCTAGCAGCCACCGCCAACCCTCTCCTCCATGAATTTCTCCAATCCTCTTTTAAAGCCATCCGTTCAACTTACCCTGCAATGTTAGTGGTGGAGACGCTTTTGGAAAGAGACAAGGTGGGGCGACCCCGGCGAGAGCCCAGCAGGGTCTGGCGGAAGCTCTCAGAGGGGTAGATGGCAGAATTGGGGCGCTCCCTGGTGGTGGCTGCAGATTTGAAAGAGAAACGGGGGTGATAAGAATTGCAAGACAGGCTTCCGTCGTACCAAAGGACAAGTTGCACCATGCAATTCAGGCAGCCGATGGAGCCCCACCGGGTTTCTACAAATGACTAAGGGTGCTGGTGCTTAAGAGAGCCTGGAGGCAACGCTTCCATCCCCACTGTATACAGAAAAGATCTCAGAGGTGTGGCTTTGGCAGAAAGGCGCTCTGCACATGTTCAGAAGCACCCACTATTTTCAGAGCTGGCCAAAGAGGTTTCAGGGCCACACTTTATCGAGGGGTCCATTAGACTAAAGTGAGTCTCACTCTTCCCCTGCCCCACCCCAAACTGGAAAAAGCACCTCAGAAGCAGTATCTCCCCAGCTGCCCTCTCCTCTTCTCAGCAGCACAGGCCCTACTTACTAAGGCCCCATCCACAATAATAATAAATATATTATTGATAATGTAAAGCAGCAGCATCCTGCTTTATAACAGATTCTTTAGGGGAAGCCATGACTCTTTAACTGTCAGTCCCACTTCCCAGAGAACTCTGGGGATTGTAGTTCTGGTAAGGGAGTAGGGGTTTCCTAGCAACTCTCAGCACCTGTAACAAACTACACTTCCCAGGATTCCTTGGGGGGAGCTGAGACTGCTTAAAGTGGTATGATACTGCTTTAAGTGTATATCACGGGTGGGGCCTTATAAGGCAGTTCCTTTAGAAGTGGAGAACTGCTTCCGCAGCTGACTCCCTGCCCCGCTTCCCCTTCCTGGCGTGGGATTCACAGCTCCACTCACTTTTGTTCCTCAGGGACACCGTCTGCAGGGCTGAATTGTTCTTCAGCAAGGCTGCCTTTTGCTGCTGCAAGGGGCGGGGGCGGAGAGAAAGAAAGAGAAAAAACGATGAGCAGCAGCTGGGCCATTGCAATAAAGCTCTGGTGGAGGAGAAAGGGGGTGGCTTTGAAGTATCTCCTGTGTGCTTTTGGGTGGTTCGCTCTGGAACAGGAAAGCAAGCACCGTAGCTTACGCTTGCCTCTATTTCTTGGTACCCATATCTGGTAAATTACTGCTTTTGCGTTTGGGGGGATAATCTCTCAAAGTGCTGCTACCGCAAGCAGATTCCCGAAGGCTCTTATTTATTTATCTTTTCAGCTGCCTTTTCAGTCTGTGCTCAGTCAAAACTTTTCAGTCAAAACTGAGCATAGGAACATTGGAAGAGCCTGTTGGATCAGACCAAAGGGGACTCATCTAGCCCAGCATCCTGATCTCACAGTGGCCAGGCAGATGCCTGTGGAAAACCTGCAAGCAGGATCTGAGCACAGGAGCCCTCTCTCCCCTCTTGTGGTTTCCAGCAACTGGTGTTCACAAGCACTGTCTCCGACCATAGAGAAAGAGCATAGCCATGCTGGCCAGTAGCCATCACAGCAGCCCTCTCCTCCTCCATCAATTTGTCTAATCCTCTTTTAAAGCAGTCTAGCTTGGTGCCTCCAGTGGCAGCGAATTCCATAGTTTAACGACTCGCTATGAGAAGAAGTACAAAACGCCATCCTGTAGTAAAATATTCAAAATCAAAACAAACGCCACCATGTTATAATATAAAACCCATTTCAAAAGCAACAGCAGGAAAACAATAAAGCGCACACACACACAATTTTGGCTGGCATCCAACTGAAGTAGGCAGGCTTTTAAAGCTTTTAAAAAAAAATACTGCAACTGAAAGGGGCCCTGAGGCTGACCCAGGGATGGCCTGAGCAGCTCAGTTCTGTACCAGTACCATGCAATACCCACCCCGAAATTGCAAGAAATAAACCTTTTAGGCACCTAACACTTTGGAACTCCCTGCCTATTGACATCAGACAGGCACCTCCTCTGTACTCTTTTCAGCACCTGCTAATGACGTTTGTGCTTAGACAGGCCTGTCCATATGTTTAGAATGCTGATGTGTTTTTAGTTTATTGCTGGGTTTAAATTTTTTAAAAATGTTTTTACTTCTTTCTTTCTTTTTTTACTAATAACTCTCTTGTTTTTTTCTTTTGGTAAACCGTTTTGAGGTTTTTTCCCTCCAATTAACTGATATATAAATTTCATGAAATAAAATGAATATAAATGAGTAAAATAGTGTAGTATGAGCCACAAGTTGGTTAAGAACGTTAGTCTCTCATGTCCCTGCCACCCTCCTCTTGCTCATGGCTTACAAGAGTTCCCCTCTCACACACACATCTACATGAACACACTCACCTTCTGCTTGACTTTAGTGCAGTTGGGCAAGGTATCTTTGCAGCGGTTGTGAATGGTGACATTGCAGGCTGGAAGGGAAAAACAGAGGGGGCATGAGTGACAAAGAGACAGTGTCGATCGGATGCTCAGATTCATCCACTAAATCAGAAAACCGAACATCATATTTTTTAACAGGCCCTTTCAGCTGGAGGGACCAAGCAGACAGGGCTTCAACTGAGCCAAGCTCTCCACTAGGCCCCATCTTGCAGTGACATGATAGATTGAAAATGAACATAGGTTTGCACAGGCAGAGTCAGGGCTGGCCCAACCATTAAAGAGAGTGAGGTCATTGCCTCAGGCGGCAGAAGCTGGCAGGCAGTGGCTATAGCCCCCTTGGCTGTTCCCCTGTGTGTAACAGTGGTGACCTGCCACAAGATCACATGTGATTCTATAAGTACATAAAATAATATTGACAGCCCCTGCACTAGCCCTCTGCTCTCAGCTGTGTTTGAGGTTCGACAGCCAGCCCACTCAGCTTCTATACATATGACATGGAGGGAAGGGGAGCCATCCTGTTCTCTGCCTTGGGCAGCAAAATGTTTTGGACCAACTTCAACCATCTCAGACTCTACAACTGGCAGGTGAGGTCTTGGTGGTGGTAGTGCTGCCTGGCTGGCATTGACCCATGACAGGGTCTTCTCAGTGGCAGCTCCCTGTTTGTGGTGCACCTGTCTCTCTTGTTGTTGACCTTCAGGAAGAACTGAAAAACATTCCTGTTTGCCCAGGCATTTGGTGGCAGGAAGATACTGTTCCTGGAATCCCTGAAATCATTGGCTGGCAGAACATTTTTAACTACTTTTAAAATGTATTTTGTTATTAATGTGGTTTACTGCACCAAGGTGCCTTTGCGAGGAAGTGTAAGATATGATGATGATGATGATGATAATGATTTGTGGGGCAGTGTCTGTATTTTACCACAATGCGCCAGAACAAGACAACGCCTGAATATTGCCAGAAACAAAAAAGAAAGGTTTCCACAGATCCTATGGGGGACATCATCACTGGAGGCGGACCATGAAACAACACCTTTGCTGAAAATGGACCCCACATCTTGGAGCCAATCAGGGGTTCAAAAGGAAGTTTGGAAGCAACTTGTAAAGCACTACCAAAGTTTCTGGGTCTGTAGGAAGGAGTGGCAGGTAGGGTGGCCATTTGAAAAAAAACAAAACCCAAACAGCTCTGCCTTCTGGATGATGCCCACCCCCCTCACACTGCAGCCTGCTGTTTCCTCCACCCCCAGAGAAGAGTGAAGGCCAACATCCTGCCCATTTGGCTGGCACACAGATGGCAGCTTGCCCCTGCTGGGCATGGCCTGTGTGCCAAGTTTTTGGCTGCAAGGAACTATCGGGGAGAACACGGTGATCACTCCCCCATGCTACAGCCTGTTCCTTCCACGATCCGCTCGGAAGGATGGCGTGAGTGAAATGGGGGGAGGAGAAGGCTGCCTCTCTGACTGCTGGAATAAATGGATCAAGGACACACACACATACGAGAGTGGCCACCTCTTTCTTCTTATTCGTCCGCAAGATTCGCAAAAGTAGGTGTGACGACAAGGCGACCATTCCAGTCCCACAGACTACATGGTGTTGTGTCACTGTGTCTCCACTCACCCCGTTTAATCTAGATTACTGCACTCCACAAGCAGAGAGCAACGTCACCATGGAAAAGGTGCCACAGAGCAAATCTCTCTAACTGATTGAAGCAAGCTGTGAGTGTTCACATGGAAAGTCCCTGGATAAAGATTTTCTCCATGAAAAGAATGTTCAATGCATTCAAGTGTGGACCCTTTTGGTTTTCTGAATAAGGAAGAGGAGAAATAAAAAGGCTCAAATCGGACCAGGGGGGCAGCGGCACAGGGGGCTTCGTCTATGATTTGCCCGATAGCTTCAGATCCAAAGAACACCTCACCTGCTTTCTCACAAATTCTAACTAAATATTAGGAAGGACTTTCTGACAGCAAGAGCTGTTCAACAGTGGAACAGATGATTTTGGAAGGTAGTAGACTCTTCTTCCTTGGAGGTTTTTAAGCAGAGGTTGGATGGCTGTCTGTCTGTCAAGGATGCTTTTGGTGTGATTCCTGCACCTAGATGATCAGTGGGATCCCTTCCAACTCTACAATTCTATGATTCAATTATTCTAAATGTTGCCCAGGCAAAGGGCTGGTTTAGCATGGACATAGGTGCAGGTCACTTGAACTCTTCTCTCCAGTGTGGAGCTCTCTCCCCAATGCTCCCCTCCAAACACTCAGTCCACCATGAGCCAAAAGCTGAGGTGCCTCATGAAGGCCTTTGGTGCAGCTTATGCTGAGGAGGAAAAGGTCAGGGAGCCCCAAGTCAGTGGGGCTATGGGGCAGTTAAATGGTTCTGTAACCAGCTTAAAGTTTGCAGTGTCAGGGCATGTCCTCACTACAAATTTAAACCAATTTCAAATCCAGCTTCAAACTTCACTGTTCCTAGCTAGGGAATTCTGGAAATGGTAGGGTGGCGCTGAGGGAACTCTAAGAGAAAAATCTTAGGTTGGACTTAGCCAGCCTGGAGAATGTGTGATCCCACCTCTCGGTCTCCCCCAACCACCACCACCATCACCACCCTCCTGCAACCTCACCGGCATGCCTGGTAAAATGAAACCTGCATTTCATGTATCTTCCTTCTCCTCTGAGCAACAGACAAACAAGAGAATACAGTCTCCTCTGTATTTCTGGCCTAAAAATTCTGTTGGCAATCCCTTGCTCCTCGATTCCCAGGACACTCTGTGGGGGAAGCCCATTCAGTTTCAGATCACTGCCCAACTGCTTTACGCCTGTACTTAAGAGGGCAGGGAAGCAATTAAGATCAAGGAAGCAAATGGGCAGCTCATATTCTGAGCTACCCCTCCTGGGCCAGCAAATCAAGGCCCTCTTGTGAGCGACTGCCAGATGGGATAGAAAGTCAATCCCCGTTTTTCTTTTCATGCATTTCTCCTTCAAGATATAAGACGATGTTTAATCAGAGCCTGCCCCACCAGCAGCAGCCCTCCGTTTGCTCAACCTGCTTATGCTAGGAGAACCACAACAAGTTCACCAAGCTCAGTGACTCACGGAATATCCAAGAATGCATGAGTAGGAGGAAGTGATGCACACAGGAAGTGGATTTCTCTGGCAGGAACAGTCATTTCTCGGTTATGTCTGTACGTGGATGGGAAGGTGGGAGGCAGGGAGACTTTTTTTAATGTGAGGGCTTTTTGTTTTTTAAAAAATAAAATGCCTACAGCCATCACTGCCTGTGTTCACACCTGGAAGACAAGCAGGTTTGGGATGCAGTCTTTGGGAATGAAAACCTGGGTCTGTTCAATGCCTGGATGGGTGACTGCCTGGGAACCACACAGATAGGTTCCAGGATGGAAGAATGTAAAAATAATGTATGTAAAAATAAGAATTTACTCGTTTAAGGACCTACTTCATGTCTGTAGCTGGGAATATATAAACACAATATTGGAAAACAGCTATTAACTTAATTCTAAAGGCATGGCTCACTCTGGGACACTCACCTGATGGAATCAATTCTAAGCTATTTACAAACTTTGTGTTTGACTGTATTATTTGCATTGTGTATAGGCATGGAATGGTTCTTGGAGAGTGGTATATGAGAATCGTTTTGCTGCAAGTATTTTCATCAACGGATAGCTCCCTCTGCGGCCCCTCAAAGTGCAAATGGCCTTGCCTTTGATGTAGGATTAGAAAGAGATTTCCAGACAACAGCAGTAAAATGAGTCAAGATACTCAGATCCTTGTAAGTACAGGATGGGGGAGTGAAAGTTCTCACACCTCCCTCCTCCTTGTGAGTCACTGAGCTGCTCAAAAGTTTTTAGCCAACCCTCACTCCTGAACTTTCTTTAAAAGACCGCAGGAGAAGCAGAAATTCCCCAGGCCAATATAGTGTTACAAGCCGCCCCAATCTCCAGGGGTCAGAGACTCTATAGGTTCCAGGCACTTAACCAGGTTCAGAAGCCTTGGAATGAAGGTCAGCGGATACTGTGTTGTCTTTAGGGTAGATGGTTTCATTTACATTTATATATGGTTTTGTATAAAACCTGAACATAAGATGGAGGGGCTCACAGAATTAACCTCACAACAGGCTCATGTTTCTCCATTAGTCGCAGCTTGGGATGTAGCACAGAGAAAGCATGTCTCTTTGTCTCCAGCTTCCAGCTTGCTTCTAGCTGAATCAAACACACAGCTCTGGCTACGGTTCTCCTACCTAGCGGCTGGGTGAGAGGAGGTGGAGGAAAGGCCTACCCATTCATTCTATGGCGCAGAGCATTTCAGGAGGTTGGAATAGAGGACCTCAGGGTCTCTTCCAATGATACAATTCTAGGATCGCTTATGCTAATCATGGTACTTAATCTGTCAAACACAACCAAACTTTTCATGTTGGTGACACACTTTTTAGACGTGCATCAAACTGAAGCTGGCACATGAACATGTCACAACACACATTTTGGAAAGCTCTGGCCTAGACAAAGAGACTGATGTGGCAAGCTCAATCTTTTACATTCTACAACCCCCCTACAGGATCCCCCAAACTCCTAAAAATATTCTCTGCATGACAGGCAAAGAGAGGCTCAACAGGATGGGATGGGGACTATGGGAAATGCTCCCTTGATGGATTTCTGCCTTGCTACAGTGCCTAGAACCACCCCAACATTTATAAAGATCCATCTTCTCCCACAAGAAAATAATATCCAAAAAACAAAAGTTTAGAAGACAGAGGAGCTCGTTCAGACACAACAGCCTAGGACTGCCAGCAAGGAAGTGAAGTCATGTTCTTCCTGAGAAGGAAGAAAATATTGTTTTTCAAGATTGGCAAGTCTGCTTGTCTCACGCACTGCTCCAAGTGGCAAAAGGGAAGTGAGAAATTCCTTCCCGCTCCACAGGACCAAATGTCTGCAGCCTAATCTACCTTCCTGCACTTGCTTCATTTCTGGAGAGAGATGCCCAATGCGGCAATTAAAAGAACAAGCCGTGAGCTGCAAGGCAACTCGGGTTCAGATC